GTATGTACCTTCGTTATGGAAATGTGCATTAGTTTCATATTAGCATACCTTTTAATTTCCTGTGGAGTCAATGCTGATTCTGGGCAGCATTCTCATAGAATTGTTTGTGAAAACTTAGTCACTGAATCAGTAATTGTGAGCAGCCAGCAGATTGGGGGAGGGGGAGGGGGGAGGAGGACTTGACAATTCCACAAGAAGGATGCATAAATACTTTGGCTAAATGACAAATTCTTATTAAATGTTCAATTTTATGTTCCCTGAAACAAGACACACTGGAAAATAAAGTAAATATTAGAAATGTGAAGTTCTTATTTAGTTTGACTTTCTAATTATAGAACTCAAATGAAGTTGCTAAAACAGTAGATATATGGATCTGGTAAGAAAAATTCATACACATATCTAGACATTCTTGGGTGTCAATGTATGTACTGTTTTACTTATCCTATATAATAAAGAGATAATATGCAAATTGACCCTTACACCATTGCACAAGATGGCTGCCCCCATGTGGTCAAAGATGGCCACCACAAGATGGCCATCAGGAAGGGTAGTTGTGGATGATCAGGCCAGCAGGTGAGGGCAGTTGTGTGGGACCAGGCCTGCAGGGGAGGGCAATTAGGAGTGACCAGGCCAGCAGGGGAGGGCAGTTGGGAGTGACCAGGCCAGCAGGGATGGACAGTTAGAGGCAATCTGATCAGCAGGGGAGGGAAGTTGGGGGCAATTGGGCTAGCAGAGGAGCAGTTAGGCATAGATCTGGCTGGCAAGGGAGTGATTAGGGATGATCAGACGGGCAGGCAGTTGAGCAGTTGGAAGCCAACAGTCCCAGATTATGAGAGGGATGTCCCAGATTGGAGAGGGTACAGGCTGGGCTGAGGGCCATCCCCTCAGTGCACGAATTTTGTGCACTGGGCATCTAGTCCTATATAATGAAAGGGTAATATGTAAGTCGAATGAACCGGCCGAACTACTGGTCGCTATGATGCGCACTGACCACCAGAGGGAAGATGCTCAACATAGGAACTGCCCCAGCCCACAGGCCCTCAATGTCCGATTGGGGACTGCTGGCCAACCTCTCAGTCCCTTCCCCCAGCAGGCAGGCTCTGATCACCTGATGGTGAATGGGGAACGGGGTGTAGGTGGTGGCAGGGGGCGGGGCCGACTGCCAGAAGCCAGGGAAGATGGCCCTGATTGCAGGCCAGGCCTACGGACCTTACCTGTGCAAGAATTCCATGTGCCAGGCATCTAGTAATATATTTGAATTTTAGCAAGGCACTAAACAATGTGCTATATTATGATCTTGTGAATAAAACTGAGATATATAGTACAGTTAAAAGTGTGTGATAAAATGTATATGTAAATTATGAAACTAATATTTGAATAATGGAAATTATGATACCACTAAAATAGTAAATAATGACTATTGCAATGACAGGCACTGTGCTCAATGCTTTGTATGCGTCTCTCACCTTGTTTTCCTTTTTAAAAAAAATATATTTTATTGATTTTTTACAGAGAGGAAGAGAGAGAGATAGAGAGCTAGAAATGTCGATGAGAGAGAAACATCGACCAGCTGCCTCTTGCACACCCCCTACCAGGGATGTGCCCGCAACCAGTGTACATGCCCTTGACCGGAATCGAACCTGGGACCTTTCAGTCCACAGGCCGACGCTCTACCACTGAGCCAAACCAGCTTTGGCTCTCACCTTGTTTTCTGATGTCCGATGTGTGCTATGAAGTAGGTACTATCATTATCCCTATGTGACAGATAAGGCAATTGGTCAAGTTCACCTACTTAAATAGCAGGTTCAGAATTTAAATCCAGTTTCAATCCCAAGGCCTTTGCTCATAATTACTAGGCTATGCTATTACTAAAAAAAAAAAAAAAATAAATAAATAAAAATCACTAATTGATATGTTGGTATAACAACAGAATAAGCTTTAATGTTTTTCTATCCCTGCCTTGATGTACATTTAAACAAAGACAGATGTAGCATTATAATCAGCTAAATGAATGATACCGTACTTCAAAGGCTCACTAGTACATAACCCCAAACTATTAACAGTTGTTCCCTGAAGGAAGACACTAAAAATAGAGAATGGGAATGGAAAAAGGGAATGCAACCATTTGACTTTGTTTATATGTACAGAGAACTCAAAATAAAATTTAACAATAACAACAAAACATTAACTACACTTATGTATAATGAGGGATTATACCAAAGAAGAGCAACTGCTCAACTTATAACCAAATGGCATTCTTTGAAAATGTTTTTATTTTACTTAGGATTCAATATTAGAGGGATAGTCATTAAAAAGTGAAGGGTCTACCCAACAGTTAGATCAGCCCTGAACCATAAAAGTACTTGATACATTATCCATGTGGTTAAAATATCTAATTTATTCTCAAAGGGTCCTCCTCACTTTTATTTTTCTACTTGAATGCTAAATAAACCTTTAGTTCTTTATTGTAATATATCCAGGTAATCTATTTCATTTACTAAATGTCAATTTTGAGAAACAAAACTGAGTATGGGAGATGTTAAGTTCATTTTCAATACAATTTGAATGAATCTGTACACCAAAATCATGTACACTACATGATGATTTTTAAATGACTTATGCGAACCTTGTAATTTTTTATGCACACAAAAAGAAATGCCATTTTGAAATACTGATTGACTTAATATAAATTTCAAAGAGAAAGAGAAAAATGTCTTAAGTAAGAGAATATATTATCTGAGGAAGCAGAGGCAGAGGGAACGCAGTGAAAAATAAATCAGCCCCTCCTAGCATTTGGGCAGTAAAATCTGTAAGGCATGAGTCTTGGAATTGCAGTAACTCTTCCAAATTATGAGGGTACTATTCCTAATGTGTAAATTGCAATATAATAAAGACAGCTGCCATGGAATTGATGGGAGCAGCTGCATTCTGCAATTCAAATGTACTTTCTTCACGGGGTGAGAGATGATTGATTACTGCTTTTCTCTTTTCATGGAAGTGACAGTTTTGGTGGTGATGCTCCACTTAGTTCCATGACACTTTTCAATCTCCTTAGTCTAGTCAACCCATAGGAGCACTCAGAACCAAGGAAGTTTGCCACACACATTTTCTCTTAGCCTTCTTTTATTAAGCAGAGATAAGACTAAATGACAGTCCATTGTATACAAGCTAGATTTTTTTGTGTTTTAAAAAATATATATATTTTTATTGTTAACAGTATTATAGATGTCTCCCATCCTCTCATCCTCTTCCACTCAGCCCCTTCCCCCACCTCCATCCCCCTCCAGGCCTTTACCATCCTATTGTCTCTGTCCATGGTCTATGCATATCTATATATATAAAAGCCTAAGCAACTGGTCTACTGGTTGAGGCACACTGACACCAGGGGGCAGACACTCATCAGAGAAGCTGCCCCTTGGTGGTCAGTGCACTCCCACAGCAGGAACACTGCTTAGCTGACTGATGGGTACCAGATGCCAGGCTCATGGCTGGCGAGCACTGCTGTGGTGGCTGAGCCTCTTCCGATTGGGACTGACTGGGTGTGAGCCTGTGGAAGGTGCAGTGGGGCTGGGCTGAGCAGGAGTGGTGTGGTGCCAGGCCCGAGCTCCTGCTCCTCCCTGGCCGCTTGGCACTTCAAGCACTAATACATCCCCTGAAGGGTCCTGGATTGTGAGAGGGCACAGGCCAGGCTCAGGGACCCCACCAGTGCACAAATCCATGCACTGGGCCTCTAGTAAGTATATATTGTAAGTTCTTTGGTTTAGCTCTTCTCATCCCCTCCCCCACCACACACACACAAAAAAAAAACAATCTGGCATTTATACTAATAATAGAGAAATATACAAATTACCCGTTACAGCATCACATCACTATCAAATCAGCAGGCTGCATTCCCGCCCTCTGCTCAGGCAGTTGAAAGGCCTGGGGTAGGATAGGATATGATAGGAGGGGATAAGAAAGGAGAAGGAGAGGAAGGCAGGCCTGCATACAGGCAGGCTTAGAGGAGAAACATAAATATAGAAAGGAAACAAGAAAAAGATGCAGGAATGGAAAAGGGAAGGAGATGCAGGGCTGCATGCGGGAGGGGGTGGCAATCACGGGGAGTGCAGAGCAGGTGGGGAGCAGGTGCACTTGTCAGGGGAGTGGGTTGGGAGCCATGCACAAGCACAGATGTGGGAGGAGGGCGATGGCCCCCGGCGTGGGCCATTGGCAGGGAGGCATCACAGGTATGGGATGGAGTGGTGAGTGGTCTGAGGCCTTCTGGATGGAGGAGCTCCTGCATTGAGGTGGCAGCAGCAGTGCCTGAGCCAGGCAGGCCTGGGCCACCCTCACTGGGCTGGGCATCCTGGGCAGGGGATGGGAGCAGGACTGATGTGGGGAGGCCAGGGAAGGGGGGGGCAGCGAACACCTGGCTGGGGCTGAGCCTTGGGCTGGGGGTTAACTCTTCCCCCACTTCCCGAACAGAAGCTTTAAGAAGAGAGGGAAGGAGGGAAATATTTATAAAGGAGTCAGTAGAGAGCAGGATTAAAGAAGGAAGGAGGATATATGAGTGAAATGTAGGAGCTATAATGAAAATCAAGTATAGTTGTGTACTGGGGACAGATTTTAAAAAGTAGGAGTCAGAAAAGAAGAAAAAAAGATAAATGATAGTGAATAATTAGGCAGGTAGATAGGTATTAAAACAGTGGAAGTAAGTAGAGAAGGATGTATGGGAAAGATAGGATGAGAGAGAAAGAGGGAGAAAAGAAAAGTTTTAATGAGGAGCCAGTAGAGCTTAAAAGGAGAATGGGAAGAAGGAAAAATGGGGGAGAGAGCAAAGCAGGTTTGAGGGAGGAAGTGAAGAAAAAAAATTAAGGTGGGAAGGAAGGAAAGGGGTAAGGATAAAGGAAAGAAGGAATGTGGGGAGGGAGGGAGGGTAGGAGAAAGATGGGAAGAAGGATGATGGAATAGAAGTAGGAAATAAGGAAGAAAGAAAAGTTTATAAATGATGAGTCAGTAGG